CCTGAGCATGCTCTGCACCAACGTAGTTTTTCAAGGGCTAGCCAAAGCGTCGGACTGGGTCGGGTGGACAGACGATGTCAAGAGCTGGCTTCCCGAAAGGGAAGGTGGAAGAGACCCAACCAAGTGTGATGTGGTGGGCAGGGCTATGCTGAGTGGTGGAGTTGGAGACCAAGTTGTTCGAGTACACAGGGTGGCGTTGCGAGAGTGGAAGCAATTTCTAGACCAGCACGACCCCAACCATACGTTCTGCAACCTCCACCGCACGTTGACACCTGACGGACGGATTGTGTGGACGACAACCCCACAGACTCCATAAACTAGCTAGCGCTTTCACTTTAGCAACAACTTCAACTATTATATACTGTACGTATAATACATGATGTAATTAACTGTAAATATATACTACTATATCGACGTGGCACACTCATACATTGCTGACTGGTCGTCGGACTCGATGGTGTTTGTGGTCGCGGCGTTGTTGGATCGAGTTGCTGGAGCAATCAGTTCGTACAGTCCACCGTGTGTCACGATTTTGATGACGTCATTGAGTTTTTGCAAGCGGCGATAAATATTCAACCTAAAAACTATTTCTAGTTTTGCTTACTGGCACAGACGGTGGCCCCCTGGAGTTGTGTCGTGTGATTTCATTGCCGCAGGATGACGCTCGTCCAGATTTTGACTCCAACGGCGCGACCGCGCAAGGCTGGTGTGATGTACCTAACCTGGCGGGCTAGGATTGTGGAAGGACGCCTCAACGATACCTCCATCCGCGAATGCAGGCTCGTCGGGTTCCCCGTGCCGTCGAAGCGTACGCGGGCACAAACGCCGTTGCGAAGGTGCCGCATAATCGCTCGACCTTCAAGCCATGATGTGGACGCTCTGCAGGTCCATTGCGACGGCTAATTCAATGCAACCCCTGACCAGGGAAATGGCTCGAGCAACTTGATCACCCCATGCAACACCAGGGCACAATAGTGCAGGCAGGTTCATCACCAGCCAAGGATCGTGGACACACGAGCACCATGATGCTGTGTTGCTTATGCGTCGGTAAGTTGGTGCTCCGCAGAGGACCGAGAGTTCCAGTCCGTCAACTCCATTGCATCAAACCCATTGAGCTTTTTCTATTCTTGCCACGCGTACGGTTCAAACGTTGTTCGAAGCAGGGGCATGTCATGGGTTCGACGGAACCGTCGGAGCAGTGGTTGAGTCTCAATCGCTACGAACGACAGGCCGAGATTGAAAGCCATGCAGCACATTCTAACCGTGACGACGTTGTATGCGATATTGTACAAATTGCATATATGTGGGGATCACCCCCGTTTTGTATTCCATCAGACGGGGGGGATGACTGCATTTTCCTGCTAGCGTCAAGCCAACTTTACCCAGTTCTCAATTTGAGTTGTTGATACAGGAGTGGACATTTCGTGTTTACAGACTCGCTGTAATTTAAGAGTCCGTTGGATCCCCCCCCTCGTCTCGCTTTTCAACCGTACTTTGCAATTTCTGCCATGGAAGTCGGATTCGAGCACGCCAAGGCCAAGGCTGCGTGGATCAAGCAGTTCAAGTGCAAGGGCTGTCGAAACGATTGGTGGGGAGTGTCCAACCAGTGTCGCAACTGCCACGGCACGGTGCCCCCTGTGGACTTTAACAACATGCTTGGCGTTGGCTGGTTTGAGTGCGAACAATGCAACCGCAAGTTTGCCGGGTTTTGCCGAGGCAACGTCCGGTCTGCGTGCCATCGATGCGGCACCAAGCTATTGGCGAGCTTTATCGTTCCTGGGGACAAAGCTTCTGCCGGTGGACGCGACCACCATGACTGCGAAGCCTGCCACGGAGTCGGGGACTGCCCCATTGCCGCGAAAGCCAGAGGACACGCTGCACGGACGAACGCGCCCTTCTGGCCATGACTCACGTAGTCAACCTGTAGAGTACGTCAAGTTTCATTTTTTGTCTAGCCCTACATACAGTACATGCGTTGGTCGATTGTTAAAGTTCATTGAACTGCATACACAACAGGCTGTATAGGCATTCTGGTAGGCAATATTCACGTGGGATTGGGAGCGCTAAGTTATAGTATTTCGTCCAGGTGATGGCAACCCCACTGTAGGATTGGTCGAGTCAAAGCTAGTTCGTTACCCACAGGATATATATCTACATCTAGTTCTTTCTGATGGATCGTAGCCCAAAGTAGTTTGGAATCGAATGGAATTATTATTCTAGCCGGATATAATCACAACAGCAACGCGACGACGGCCACCACAACGTATGAGCCCACAACCGTGGCTGAGGTCGTCGAGATCACTAGGGGTTTGGTGGTGGTCGGGGCGACAGAGGAAGTGGGGGCTTCGATGGTAGCAGTGGGCTTGGCCGTGGTGGCCCCCACACACGCCGTCGCGACCACCGACGCCGGAAGCCCTTGCACGGTGCACGTCAGCCCCGCATACATCTTGAGGGCGAGCGTGCAGTCGTTGAACGAGCAGAGCCCGACGAGACCGGAGAGCGACGTGGGCACGGCAGTGAGCCCCGCCACGTACAGACATGACTGAAGCTGCTTGGGAAAGGACGTGGGCGTGTCGTTGGCCGTGCACTCGGAGCCCGCGCTACCTCCCGACGTCGCCTTGGTTGTGGTGGGTGTGTCCTTGATGTAAGGGTCGCACACGGTCGCGATCATGCTCACGGGGTCCCCATCCTCCGTGCACGTGAGGGTCGCGTAGCTGCGCACGTATGTGACACAGGACGCGTACGAGCAATACACGGGCAGGTTGGTCTTTGTCAGGTTCACTATGCCAGAGTCCGACCGGCATGTCTTGAAGATGGCGCTCAGTGGCGCGTAGTCGGCGTCCACGCATGGGACGTCGCCACCTCCGGACGGCTTGCGCGTGGTGGTGGCGGGTGCTACGGACGGAGTGACGGCGGGTTTGGGGGTCGTTGTGGCGGGCTTGGAGGTCGTTGTGGTGGACTTGGGGGTGGTCGTCGGAGGGGTTATCAAGGGCGTGCACATCGTCCCGAGTTCAGTCGTGGGCGACCCGTTCAAAGTGCAAGACAACTTCGCGATCTGCTTGTACCAAACGACGCAATCGTTGAACTTGCACGCGTTCAGCATGTCCGTGCCCGTGGGAGTCACGGGGAGGTTTGCCGCGAGCCGGCATTGCAACCACTGGGTCGTATACGGGGAGAAGTCGGTGGTGTCGCACTCGCGGCCAGAGGCGGTGGATGCGGCAATGGCGAGGACGAGCATGGCCACGCGTTGCATGATTGATTGGGCGGTGGCAAAATGGAAAGTGATGCCCATCCTTCGCCGGTGGCATCCTTGAATGGTCAAAATGTACATTCGGACTTTATCTTCGTCAAGTAAGGTACCAAGCACCTATTTTGTAGTCATATATGCTCTCAATTTATAACACGACGTTTTCAATCAATACACATTGAAGTATAAACTGGACTAAAAAGTGCTAAAATATGCTTGTAAACTAAATGTATTCGTCGCTCGAACGACGGGGCGCCAGTGATCACCAAGGAGCAATTCCAGTTAAGTTGCCAGTACAGTACTGATAATGCTGCATGTCTGGTCCGTCTGGGTGTAGCTCAAGTGAGGCTTTAATATCAACGAGAGGCCTGGGGAGCTTGGAGTAGTACGGAGGAGATTCATACGCTGCATAACACGATGCAAACACATTTTGTATGGCACAAGCTCCCACAGCAGCAGCGTTACGATGCGTTCCATTCTGGATTCATCCTGTCGTTAATCGTTGAAAATGCCCACAGGAATATGTAAGGTTGGTGGATGTAAGCGTCTATTTTGCATATTGTAGGGCTATCCATTACCGGATGTAATGCTCACAATTCCGGATAAACAGGAAGCTAATTTCAAGGCAAATCGTTTTGACTATACAGTACGTATATTCTGAACCTGTGTGAATATTATGAATCCCGACAGTATCCATTGGAGCAACAGGCGGAATGAGTGCTCCAAGCGACAACGAAGATGAATACGTCGAGCCCGTGTACCTCGAGCTCGAAGGACGGGAGATGTACTTGGTGAAATTACCGGTAAGGACCCCTTGGGTCATGAAGGAGATTGACATGTTTCGAGCAGAAGGAACTGGGGTCGTCGTGGAAGACCAACGCAGGTGCGTTGTCGTGATCGGCCATTCCTGTCGACCAGTTCCCTTGCTGACCCCCTCCCCGATATGCGTAGACAGTGAAATCGTGTTGGGGACCCTCAAAATGAACAAGCGCGATGCGGCAGGCAACCGCAAGGTACCTACGTCACGCTGCACCATCCACTGATCAATTGTTCAGGGCCAGCTGAGCGTGAATCCGTCGACGTTGTCGGAAGAAATCCCGTTGGACTATCGCACGGTGTTGGCCCCGTCGAACCTATCCATGAAGGTGTTTTCTCAAGATGGGTCGGGACGCATGGCGATCGAGGGCAAGATCACCGAGTCGTGCACGTTGATGCCCCAACCGGGCGCGTTGTACAAGAAACAACTCGGCGACCGATACCTCAAGTCGATGCAAAAAGGGTACACGTGTCATCCTCGTCCCATCCCGTCCTCCTCACAGTCGTCCATCTTAGCACTGTCGTGCCTCTGGAGAGCACCCCCAAGCAGGTCAAGGGCAGCATCACGCTAAAGATCCCCAAACCACGGGAAAGCGACGACGAAGAAGAGGAAGACTTGAAGTTCAACAAGGAAAAGGACAGCAAAAAGATCAAAATGGACCGCGATGCGCTCAAAAACGAAATTTTCAAACAATTCGAAAAACGCGACTATTGGCCGCTCAAGGAACTCAATTTGCATTGCCGTCAACCCGAGGTTTGGCCATTTTTTCATCCTTTTTTCACGATTTTTTAGGCGTATTTGAAAGAAATCTTGCGCGAAATTTGCATTTACCACAAAAAAGGCCCCAACAAGAGCTGCTACGAACTCCAGCCCCACCTCAAAGGCCAACACAACAGCTAGGCGGTCGATTTATAACAAAGAGACACGCTGGGATGCGAGAAATATAATACGTTATATAGAAATACGCGTTTTAGTGTGAAATATGGGGGTTACGTCAATGCAACCGCCGCCAGCGCGTCCGTGGCGTCTTCGATCGCGCGGCACAACCGATGCAACTGGTGCTTGGCATCGATGACGCTGCTGTCGCTCAGTGCGTTGAACACGCCCGGGAACAAGGTCACGTTGTAGTCGTTCCACACGGAATGTCCGTACACCGACTACGATACATACATGCACCCTCGATATAAGAACACGACTCTACCACGTTTGTGGAATGTTGAACCAAGTCGACGCATGCGTACGTACATGTTTGAGCCACGGCTTGCCAGGCAGCCCTTCGGGGAACAGGAACGCACGCTCGGTCATCATGAGGCGGTTGTTCATGTCCCTCGCGCGCTTGACGTCGACGACCATCTGGCCGTTCAGCACGTCCAGCATCTCGTCTTGCATCAACGTCATTTCCTACATGTATCAGACGCATGTCACTATGACATGTCAAGTTGAAGTAGCTGTACCGTGTTGGCGTGGTGCGCCGCCTTTTCAAACGTCGTGATCGCCCGCTCCAACCGGTCCAAATTCAACGAAATCGCGCCAAACGTCTTGAGCACCCGCGCGAGTTCGTCTTTGCCCGTGCGCAAATCCTTGGCGTATTCGGCAAAGTCGTATGGGAGGAACACGGCGTCGGTGAACGTCAGCAGCGCACTGCCGTACAGCTACCACCACCATGATCACATCATGATCAGATGACGTAATCCAAAACATACCTGGGCCGCGGCCCGATGAAACGTAAACGACGGGTCGCCAAAGCTCTTCATCCACTCGAGCGTGTCGTACGTTGTGTCCTCCACTCCCGTGGAGAATCCGGCGTCGAAGCCCATCTCCACGACGGGGACCCCCAGCCGGCCCACGAACGGCGACAGGATGTGGCGCGACCCGGGGGTCAGCACAGCCGGCACGACCGCCTTGGGCGACTGCGCCTTGGTTTGCTTGAGCCAATAATAATAGATCGAGTCGGACACGGCGTTGGACAGGTCCTCCCACACCATCGTCATGTTGGAGTGCCCGGCGACGGACGACGGCGACGTCGGCTCGGCCGTGGGCGTGGAGGACGCGTCCGGATTGGCCACGCCCAGCGTCGTCAGGTACAGCATCGTGCGCAGGGACGAGCTGGCTTCGACGGTCAGCGACCCGGGCCCGAGCACCGGGTCACGGATGTTCATAAATACAACTGCGCGACTGGCAAAGTTGGACGCGTGCTTATCGATCCACTCCGCCGTCCCGACGTTGCCGTAGTCTTCGGCATCGATCGACGCCAAGAAGATCGTGCGGTGCGGCGCCCACCCTTGACCGAGGAGGGCCCCCAACCCCCGCAGGAGCTCAATGAACACGGCGTTGCCACTAACTACACAGAGCCGGTTGGTTACTCGAGCGACACATCACACGGAACGTTCTAGGACATTTCTACGAGGTGGGGGGGTACCTGCCGGGGTCGGTGGCGCCGGAAATGGCCGAGTCGCGCTGGCTGCCCACCAGCACAATGCGATCCGCTTCGCGCGTGCCTTCGAGTGAAATCACCACGTTCCACGTCTTCTTGACCACGTACTTGTGCTAATATGAAACACACGTTCAGTCCACCGCAGCCATCCATTTCTATCTCCACAAACACAATGTCATACCACGTTGTCCACAAACACCGTGGACGTGCTGGCACCGCACAAGTTTGCAGCGTCGACACCGCTCACAAAGTTGGGAAAGATCTGGGACGCAGACGGACCGGCCTTGATGGTCACGAGGAGCGCCGCCGCGACGTCGGCCGAGATGGGCACGCTCACGACGTGCGGAATGAAGTTGCGCGTGTTGTCGTCCGAGAAGATCAGGTCCTGCGGCAGGCGTTCGATGCCCGGCACAGACACGTCGTCGGGAGTCGACGGGTCGCCGTTGCCCATGTACACCGAGCCAAACGCGGCGCGGTCGTTGGGCTGGTACGGACCATTGGGCCACTGCTTGCCGCGAAGGCTGCCGTTGTCCGCTGGGTCACTGGAACACCCAAACAAGTCGAGTGACTGGGACTGAAGACGACGTTATGTCTACCTGTATGTCAACACGGCGACAGCGCCAATATCTTTGGCCAGCTGGATCTTGGCGGGCAGCGAGATGCGACCAAGTCGCACGATCAGCACGGCGTCGGTGAGGTTGACCCCGGCATTTCGCAGCGCCTGGGGGAATCATGTTGAGATGAGCTGTAACGAACTCAGATGTGAGATGATGTACGTTGTAGTCTTGGGTGCGCCCATAGTGTGCGTACACGAGGTGCCCTCGCGCGGTGCCATTCTTCGAGTAAAAGTGATACGGTACCGGCTACACCAGTCCATGAGACGGAGTACATATGTGACGATGTACCTTGGACTTGTCCTTGACGGTGGCTGTGAGGTCGAAGACGTTGTCGGGCTTGCCGTCTTCGCCGACGACTCCGACTCGAATGGACAAAGGCTCGTTCAGGAGGAGCTCGTAGTCGCTCAACTTTACGTTATCTTCGGGAAATCCGAAGTCCCGCGCCTTCTCGACAATGTACTCGGCCATGGCGAGGTCGCCCGTGCTGCCTGCCAATCGCGATTCCTAAGGCACAATGTCATCGTTCAACGCTCGATGGGACTGTCATACCCGTGTGTAGTACGTCAGAGTCTCCTTCGCGCCGGCGGCCTTGGTTGCGAGCATGAAGTTCTTTTGGTTGGGAGTAAGAGCGCTAATGAATAAGATATACATGTTCAGATGAGTTCAAGATATGTTTGGGAGGTTGGTTCATGACGATGGATACCTCAAGTGCTCGTTGCCCGACAAGACGCGAATCATGGCAATGCACACGATCACAGAGAGCATGAGAGCCACAAGAGAACCACATCCGATCGCTTGGCGGCGCTTCGCTTCTGTCTTGGACAGACTCGGCGGTGAACGACTCGCACGGGGACTGTCGGCGTACAAGTTGGGAGCTTTGTCGCTGGGTTCGGGGATCATGAGCTTGGACGGACGATGACTGCCTTTGACGGTCAGGACGACCTCTTCCTCGACGTCATCTTCCTCCGTAAACTGATCGTCGTGGGACAGAGTCATCGCTGTTGCTGCTCTCGATTCAACACTAACGGGGTCGGTCGTTTTCCAAATCCCGTGGGGGTTTCGCTTTTGTCCGTTTCATTTCCGGTTAAATGGAATCCTCGGAACGAGATTATCCGGAAAATTACTTTCAATACTCAGCCTGGTCGTAGGAGCTCCAACCTCCGTGGCCCCAACAACGCTTTTAACGTTAACGATAGAAAGCTATAGTGTCGACCTGGAGGAGAGTACCTACAGTAGGTAGGATCATCCGTGTCTGGTCTGTACGTGGTGTAGATAGAGTGAAAAGCTCCGGCTCGGATTACCACCGAGGATTCTTCTATCACGACCCTGTAACGCCCCGTTCTCCCGTACAATCTCAAGTGGCGGCGCACAAAGCTACATTTTTCCCTTCTAGCCATTGTTTAAGCGGAAAGCAGGAAGTGATTTGCGCTACAAATCTGCCAAATGAAGCTCCATTCCTTCAAGAGTCAGAATGTGATTTGCCAGTTCTTGCGCTAACGTTACTATATTAAGAACACGATTGTCATGAAGAGCACGCGATCTCCGCGGCGTGGTGTGCCGAAACCACGCGTCCTGCGCAGTCGTGACGGCCCTCGGCCCCATACCTCATCTAACCCAGACCCACAATCGTCCGTCTTACCGGCGCTTCCCCACTCGCAGGCAGTTCCGCCATTACCGCTCTCGACCGCTTTGGCCCAAATGCCATTGCCCCACACCGCACCGACCCCTTCTTCCCGCCACCATCCCAAGCTGTCGGAGCGTCTTGTGCCTTGCTTGCGGCGCGCTTTCTCCAAACTGGACGGGGTAATGCCCACCACGCGTCATCACGTCCTTGGATGTTGACTTGTCGTAGGACGCCAATCCTTTCTTGACGAAAGCAGACATGTTGGAGCACAACCAAGTGCTCGCTGAAGCCCACGTACGTCGTCTCACACTCTCCATCGCAGATCACATGCCTCGGTCTGACTTTGCGCAGGATGCCGTGGAGCTGTCGTCGAGTGACATTGACATGCTCTTCCTCGTGTTTGACTCTTCGCGGCAAGGCACCATCGACCGTCATGTGGTAATAACCCATCAGATTCTCATGTTGCACCCATTGTGTTGCCTTTGTGCTTGTTATGTGTAGCCCCAATCGTCCGACCTTGTTTGTAGGTGGTGCGACACCTAGACAAGATGGAAACCGACCGCGAGTTCCACACCAAGGGCACAGCGCGACCATGTCATACTTCGCGCAAGCAATGTGGAGCAGCATACTCCAACATGGGCATGGCCGACCAGCATCAAGTCCTCGGGCTCTCGGCGCCGCGACAGCAACCTGCCGTCATTTATAGCGAGCCACGGTTCACGCCGCAGGTGCCATGCAAGCAAAGCCCCCGGTCGCTAGCCTGGTAGAACTAGTTGGATTAGTTGGTTTTCAAAAAGAGAGTTGGTAGGGGGGCTAAAGTCAAGCGACTTTGGCGATAATTTATTTAGTACTTTTAGTTTACGACGGTGGATTTTCTACACACTAACTTATTTGGTCTACTCACAATACGCTCATGCTGCGGCCCCTGCACTTGTCTGCAGCTTCCCACAACGCGTCGATGGCATCGTCGACCTCGATCAAGAAGCCAGGCGACGACATGTCCTGCACAGACTCCTTCACGCCTGCCACCAGCATTTCCAGCTTGGACGGCAGGTTGCCGCACCCTTCCCGTTCCATCACGGCCCCCACGTCGTACAACGTAAAGCCGTTCTCGACCCCTTTCTGCAGCAACTTGGTGCAGATTTGCATGGTCAGGACAGACGTTTCGGGCAGCCCAATGGCGCGCAACGTTGCGGCATCTTGGTCGATGTCCAACGAGGCGACATGCGCGGCGGCCTCAGGGCTCAGGGGGAACTTGGCTTGCGGCCAGTGCAGCCATTCAAACGTGGCGGCGTCCAAGTGCTCCACCGAGGGCAGGCATAGACCGTGATCGATGGGGACCATGGCGTATGCCGACGACAGAGGCGACGACGGCGTCTGCAGCAGGATGTTGCCAGCATGGCGATCTGTGTTGAAGAGGCGGAGGTCCAAGATGGCAATCTTATGCACATCCACCACCCCAAAGCGCAAAGTCCCGATGTCTTCGGCTGAGCTTTCGGAAGTGACATATGCCTGCACCGACCCGTCCTTCCACGTGCCTCCAACCGGCAACGATACGAAATGGGTTGCTGGCACTCCGCTGAAATGATCGTAGGCGGCGTCCAAGAGGTACGCGGCGACTTCGCGCGCGGCGCCGTCGCCTACGAGGAAGCCTTTCTTCACAGGATGCGCCGTTTCTCCAATGACGGCGCCAGGGCAACGATACCCGCGAGGGTTCTGCGGGGCCATGTACTCTTCGTCCATGGGTTTGAAGACAGCGAGAGGTGCGCGGCTTGTGGAGGGATATACGATGTAAACGCCGCCGCAACCGTCTGCAGTCAACTCGAGGGATGCATTCTGCTGCACCACGGCGGTGGTGACAAGCGCGCGGAGTGCTGTCGCGGGGTTGACAGGTACCACCGTGGACTCGCAAGGGGTGAGAGGGGTGGAAGTCGCGACGAGGTCGACAGGTGAAGGCGAACAAGTCGTTCCCTTCAACCAGACGGCAAAGTTGGGTTGCTTCAGAAGCAGTTTGGGCAAGAGTTGGAGGGCGAGGGAGGTCTTCTTCGCTTGGAAAGCAGCGACCAAGGCGGCGCTGCGGCGCTTCCCTCCCTTGTACGAGATGAGCCATGCGGTCGTGGCGGAGGAAGTGGATGTAGTCGACTTGTTCAAGGCGGAGACGTAGGCAGCACACATCGACATTGTTCCGCGTCGAGCGCTGTGCTTGCACTTCGTCAATGCAAAAGTGAACCCATCCGTTGTTCTCCTAGCAGTTGGCCGAAACACTGAACTTCAAGGTCCACTGTCAAAATTGACAAAAACAGGGTCCGCGTGCCAGAATCGGGGGCTGCCGACACCCCTTTTCCGATCAGCACTTTGCTGTTTCAAGCGGGGCGTCACGCCTTTAGCCTACCGTTGTCACGTTGGTTCGCTCTCCTTTGGTAGCACATCTCCACGAACGGCAAGCATTTGACATGCTCTCCCATCTGCAGAATTCCAGATTCCCCATCGACCACATGGGGGGATGCTTTCGACCATTCGAGAAGTCGGCGACGTCAGAAGTTGGGCGAAGCTACTTTGCCGTGACGAGGTAAGTAAAACCCGTCGCGGTAGCCATGTACTGCAGCTGTGTGAGGTGGCTTCTTGTTACAGTAATTGTCCCAGGGCAAAGCTTGGAGTCTTGACCAGTGCGAGGCTGATATTTTAGCATTTATCCAATCAAATGGCGTAGATCGGGTGTGCTGGATCGAAACGAACCAATCGCGTGCTAGGATAGTAGCGACGACGCGGCAAAGAGGCACAGTCCCAACCACGTTGCTCAATCTCCGCGCCGAGACGGATTACTACACGGACCAGCACAGCCGAGCGAGTGCAAGCCAAGCTGAGCTCGAGGGACACGTGTTCTAGGGAGATCCCCCAGTATATAGCATAGCTTGCCATGTTAAAAGTGCGAGCGTCCGTTGGTGAAGTGAAACGAAGGCCACTTCACCGTTACCTTTGCGCCTTTCATGAATGGGTATGTACATCCGTGAGAATGATGTGCGTGCTGGAGATTCTCTAGTGATAAACGAACTGACAATAATAATTGCATCGACGTGTTTCATGTTCACAGCCAATCCGGTCGCTTGATATCGTCATCAAGTCGTTTGATTGGATAGCACTAAATCTAGTAGCCAATCAGCTCATGCCGTGTCCCTACAAAACGCACCGTGATTGGTGAAAGCTTGGTTTTGTCGCTGGAAGCTTCAAGATCGCGATCTTTCCGTGTGGCCCTCAGTCAGTGGTCATGCAAGTGAAGCTACTGTTCCTGTTGGGCATGATGACTCCAACAACCTCGGCCACCATCAGCACCATTGACGCGGCGCAGCTCCTCAATGGCCGCGGACCGACAACCCTCGTTACCGCAAACGGAATTAGCTTGGACACCCTCCTTGATACATTCCCATCATGCGATAACCAATGCGTCGGCAGCACTCCCTGTGGGTCCACTTCGGTCCTTTCCTTCGGCAGTAGCATGTGCGTCGCGCCAACAAAGTCGTCGGCGTGTCCGATCGGCTATGTGTGTTGCGACCCCGCCACCTGTCGTGCCAAGACCCAACGACAATGCAGCTATTCTACGACCCATGTTCTGAAAGACCTCGACGGTCTCAATTACAAGTCCGCGCTGCAGTACCTCGCGTACATTGGGGGCGGCAGTGCCGGCGACGTTGCCGCCGTGTCTGCCTTCATCGATAAACCATTGGGCGTAGCCGACAACAGCTTGCGGTGCAAGTCCCAGTGCAACGGATGGAACGGTATTTGGACCTGCCCTTCGTCATGCGATTGCATTCAATCTCCGGTTCCGACCTTGGTGGTCGGTGAGAAGTACCGTTGCGTCGGCACTGGCTTCGGGGCGTCCGGGTATGCATCTCCCGCCACAAAGTTGGCGAATGGAACGGTCGTGTGTCCGCCGGGGTATGGATGCGACGCGACGGTGACGTCGTCCACTCCTTGCATCGGGCAACTACCGATAGTTACCACGACCAGCGCTCCTGCGTATGTATCGCCGCCTCTGTCCTCTGCAAAGGGTGGGAGCGGGACGGACCAGACTACGGCGATTGCCGTCGGGTCAGCATGTGGCACGCTGGGACTTGTTGGAGCGGCCGCAATGTACTTCATGTATCGGAAGAAGGTGAAGGCACAGCAAGAGGGAGATGAGCATGTCGCGTCGGTGCTGGCGTCGGGAACGAATGACCATTACCACGAGGCGCCCTATGGAGCGTGAGGAGCGAAGGGGTTGTGTAGGATTGTGGTGTGATGGATGTTGCATCATGTTGGCGAAGCTACTAGATGCTTACTAATAGTAATGACAATACAACAGTTGTCTTCGAAATTCGTTATTTAATACATTTATCCATATCACGCAACCTTCGAACTACGCTTTCACACAAAAGTACTACTAGTAGAGCGATACAACAGTTTGGAACGCAGTGTTGATGGTGGACAATGCAGATGGAACGTCCACGTCGGCGGCAACGATCGATGCCGACGTCCACGTTCGCATGGAGTTGACAGCATGGACGTGTGAGATTAGGCAGCTACTATCTCGCTTAGTGTGCCTCGGTACAGCAGCATCTGTGCCTCCCGAGGAGGCTCGTCATCCGTCGAACAGGAGCAGACACATCTCAGAGACCGGGGGATCTACTGGCCCATCGATGTATACTTTAACTCGCGTGGCCAAGTGTCCTTTGTTGTGGACGTTGCAAGGCATGTCGGGTGATGTCGTGCTTCGGTACTACGGGCACCACGACGTGATCTTGTTTCCCCAGGTGGTGGCGAAACTCACGGACACGCAACGACTCGTCCATTCCATGGACAGTCTCGTGCTGGTGAAGTTGGATGCTGTTCCGTCGGCACTCACTACCCGTCCCGCGGCCACGATGAAGGAAATGGGCGACATGCTCGTGCGAGTGACGGCGCTGAAGAAGCGACGCGACATCATCAAGAAAAACCTGCAAGCGGTGGGACCGGCCGCGTATGCTGCATTCCAAGTAGATGTGTCTGCCCAGTTCCACAAGATGGCGATGATGTACATCTACCACTACATCAAGAATACCGCGACAGAGCGAAGGCGATGCCAGGCCCGCCTCCGCACTCGGCAGACGCAGTTCCAGACGTGGTTTGCCCACATGACGATCGAGGCCCCCATCACGTCCGACCCCATAACCACCGCCACCACAACATCGACAACAGCAGACATGGAACAAATCGACCCTTCCTCTACAGACACCCCCCCCATCGACTTGGCCTCGACGCCGCCACCGCCCGACGATGTCGAGATGATTAACACGGACGACCCTCCTCTGGCCCTTCCGGAGCACGCCACCCTGTCGACTCCCCCGCCATCGTCCTCTCCGCCGCCCCCATCCATCAGGGACGTCCAACCACAACCGCCCTCGCCACCGTCGAAGGTGACATCACCAGTGGCAGCAATGTCCGTCGACGAGCCCCCCCCGTCGCCCGTGGAGCTGGTGCGGCGGAATCCGGCCAAGGCGCGCATCTTTCACTGGCATGTGGAGAAGCTCGTGGTGGCCTGCCGCGTCGCGAATCCAGACATGCCCGACGCGCGAGACGTGGCGGAGATCATTAAGGAAGCGATGGACTACCTCATGCCCCTCGACTGCTTCTCCGCCAACCAGCTCAACCAGACGATGCTGGCCATCGAAGCCGACCTGGCGACGCGAGACGCGCCCGCCATCCGCCGCCTCGTCGCCCCCCTCGCCCTGAGTCCGTACCTGACGTCGTTCTTCCCCACGCCCATGAAGAAGGCCGTCAAGTTGCGCGCGCTCAACCGCCGCGGGTGCCGCGTCCACTTTAGCGACACGCTGCACCATGTCAAGCATTTTCACTTTGACGACGCCCCAAACGCCGTGCGCCAGGCCCTTGTGCACATGAACAACGACAACATCCGCGAAGGCGCCCCCGATTTGCCCCGTCGGCCGAGCCTGCCGTCGCAGCCGTTTGTGGATTCGAGACCGCACAAGTACATTCGACTGGGATGACCAGATCCATTCCTACCAGTAGTCGATGACAAGGGGAGTCCCCAGTGGCGTGTGTGTTTATTGGAGAACGTTGGAGTAGTGGTAGTAGGTACTAGTAGGAGGTAGCTACCTACTAGTATGACGGTTTGAAAGGCACTTTACAGTTGTTAATATTTGGAGTGCCGAGTGAGTTATTCCTTGCTCGCTTTTGATATCGATCCTTGCTTGGTTCATGTAGTGTTGTTTGTTGTGCATTTAGAATCCAATGCACGAAACTACCTTGTATAAGTCAACACACAATACTGTATACGCAATCAGGGCCAAGCAACCATGGGAAGGTACTACTAGTAGTAGGTACTAGGACGTGGTTGTATGTTATGAGTCGTGTTGTGTGTACTTAATGCTTGGCACCAAGGCGCGCCTTGCGTTCGCGCTTGGCGATGGTCTTGGGGTTGTAATGGCCCTTCTTGCGCGCCGCCTTCCACTTTTGTCGGCCGGATGTGCTGACGCCGATGCCGGCGTTGCCGTCGTGGATGCGGTCCTCCTCTGCTTGCTGGCGGGCCTTTTGCTTCTTGGAGGCCCCTGCTTCGCCCCCGCCCTCTTCGTGGGTGAACGTGTGCAGGGGGTCGTTGTCTGTCCGTCGCTTGTGGTTCTTCTTGTATGCGCCGCCGTGGCTCTTTCGCTTCTTGGACGGTGCGGGTGCCTGAAGTGCCGTGGGGACCAAGTACGCTGGGATCGTGCCCAAGTGCGGCTGGATGCGCGCCTTGCCCACCTGTTTGTCATGCTGGAGCAGGTTGAGTTCCCGCGGGTGGTCCTCAAAGTGTGCGCGCAGCTTGTCTGAATTCAGCATCTCCTTCTTCACGTCGTTCAGCTGGGCCTCGCGCACGGCGATGCCCGTCACGGCGCGGCGGACGTCCTCCACGCGGTACCGGAAGCAGTCGATGTCTTTGATGTCAAACGCGAGGGGCGCCGGCTGACTGAGCACGTCCTGCGACTCGAGCACCACGGGGCTCTGCTTGGACTGCACGCGGGTCAGCGCCTTGGTCTCGGCCGCGTCGTTGGTCGCCACGAGCGAGATGGCCGTGCCGTTGGCGCCGCCGCGCGCCGTCCGTCCGATCCGATGCGTGTACGATTTGACGCTTTTAGGGAATTCCACGTTGACGACAAAGCTCACGCCGCGAAAGTCCACGCCGCGGGCCACGCCAAACGCTTGGTCGCGGGTCGAGTTGGACGACTTGGACTTCAACAACGGCGCTTGTCCTTCGTCATCATCAAGATCGTCATCCCCTTGGTCAAGATCGTCATCCCCTTCGTCATCGCTTTCGTCGTCACCAATGTCGTCATCGCTTTCGTCATCGCTTTCGTCACCAATATCGTCACCAATATCGTCACCTTCGTCCTCTTCTTCTTCAACCACGTCTTCTTCTTCGTCATCGCTTTCGTCGTCACCAATGTCGTCATCCTCGTCTTCGTCATCCTCATCTTCGCCCTCGTCCTTGTCCATGCTGTCGTCCGTGGCAATCAAGTAGTCGATCAGGCCTCGGTTGAACTGTTCAATGATGTGCTGGCGAGAGTTGTGGGGCAACTGCGAGTTCAACACGGCGGCTGGGATGAGAAATTGCTCGAAAAACAACTTGAGGCGGTACGCGGCCGACGTCGAGTTGACAAAGAAGATGATCTTGCCGTGCACAATGCCTAGCTTGATGAGCGCGTACAGAAGCAGGTCCTTGTCCTTTTTGGCCACGGGGAGGTAGTACTGGGTCAGCTTGCCATCCGACGACCCTTCCTCGAGCTTGACCACGGCCGGGTTGTGCAGCAGCGCCTTCTTGAGCGCGTCCAGCTCGGGACTGAGCGTGGCAGACATGAAAAAGTGCTGGCAGATCTTGGGCAGCGCGTTGAAGATCTTCTTGACGTCGTCGCCGTACCCGAACGACAGGATCATGTCCGCCTCATCCATCACGACCGTGTGCACGGAATGCTTGAGGTCGACGTTGCCCGCGTCCAGATGCACCACGAGCCGACTGGGCGTCGTGATCAAGATGTCCGGCAGGTCGCGAAGCAGAGCTTGTTGGGCGTTCACGGTCTGCCCACTGAGTCCCAGCACGGACACAATGTCGCGGCAGTAGTACATCAGCTCCCACAGATGCGCCTTGGTTTGGTCCACCAGTTCCTTGGTCGGGACCAAAATGAGAGCCTTAATGCTCTTCTTGGTCGTGGGGGAGTGCGCCGCCAGAAGCTTCTGCAGCACAGGCAAGCAAAATGCCGCCGTCTTCCCCGACCCTGTCCGCGCGCGCACCAACAGGTCCTTGCCTTGAAGTGCCAGCGGGATGCAATGCTTCTGTACAAGGGTTGCATGCACGAATTGCATTTTCGCGCATGCCTTGCTCAGCCGCTTGTCCAGGCCAAAGTCGCACGCGCTGAACGAGAGCTCGCCATCCAGCACGGACGGATTCACCACTCCGGACATGGCACTTCAACAATGAGCTTTGGTTGGTCTCCAATCATAAACCGCCGACAGGCCACCATTGGACAAATGACTCGGTTTGATTCGCTGAAAACAATTACAGTTATCACGAATCCAATCACTCTATTTGAAATAGGGTGACTTGATTGGTTGGCAAAGTATTGTCCAATACGACCAATCACATTCGCGCGTTGAACATCGCCACATGATGAGCTCCGCCAAGGTGATCAGTGCTGGCCGAGCGGCACGAGCAGCCAAGTCCCTTGTGCATGCACAGACGCTGCTGAATCAATTGCGGCTGAAGCAAGTCGCTCTCAGCCAAGACGAGTTCGACAAGCTCGTCGCGGATGCTGGACGCACGTTGCACAGCTCGTCCGCGAGAGAAGCGCTCAACTTTATGCAGACTCAGGTACATCCAGCAGTGGCGCCTTCCACTCGGACATACAACACGGTGCTCAAGTCTTTGTCCCGTGAAGGGCGACATGCGACGGTGGTGTCCACCTTCCAGCACATGGACTCGCTCCACCTCCTCGACACACGGAGCTTCGACATCGCGTTGGACTCGTGTGGGTGGCAAGGAGACGTGGCCCGAGCACGCCTGCTGTTGTTCGACATGACCCGTCGCGGCATTCCTCGCTCAGTCGCATCGTACCAAGGCGCAATCCAAGCGTGCATTCCGTCCCACAACATGACCCAAGCGTGGCGATTTTGGCAGACCATGTTGACCACCGACCAGCTGGCACCGACGGTGCAGGTGTACACGCATTTGCTGTCTGTCTTGGCCGAACGCGACGCCTCAGACGACGACACATCCATGGCCGTGCTCTTCCACGACGCCGTGACCACCCACCGCCTCCAACCTACCCGTAAAATGGCACTCCTCGTCCTCAAGAGTTTGCCATCGGACGCGCTCTTGCCGTGGCTCACAAGTCTCAAGCAAAGGGGTCTTGGGGTTGGCTTGGACGGCGCCATCTATGCAGCCGCCATGCATGTGGCTGACCAGGCGGGCGACGTCGACGGGGCCGTTCAGTGTCTAGCTCTTTACTGCACCAGCCGCCCCAACACGCTACTGGAGCACGTGCTGCCCGTGCTACGCCGCCTGCATCTGTCGCCCCGAGGCACGGAGGCGGTCGTGGGCTTTGTTTGGGAACGTTTCCGGGCAAGTTCGCCGCACACGCCGACGTTCAACGTCCTCTTGGGCATGTTGGGCAGTGTACACCCGAAACGTGTGACGACGTTGCTCCATGCGATGGTGCAATCTGGCCATGCCGACATGCACAGCTTCCGCCTGGCATTGGTGCATGGCCCCATGCAAGACAGACCGGCGGTGCTCCAGTCGCTGGAAACGTACGAGCTGTCCAAGGGCCGCAATGCAATCGTCGTCGCGTGCAATAGCGCCCTCCATGCGTGCTGTCTCCGTTCCCAGATGGACATCGCCGAGCTGCTCTTCGAGTACATGCCCGTGCTGCCAAACGCTGCGTCCTACGGCATCTTGTTCAAGGGGTACGCCAGACTGCCCTGGACGTACGTACCCTGTTTGTATGCAAAAGCACTTGGACGTTTATTTGGAGTAGATTGTTTTATCGTAGCTACTGTAGCAAGGCAAAATACGGCCAAGATTTTGCTTTAGGATGTATATTATTTGTGTACTACATCGTTGATGTGTAGCAATGCCATTTCCGACATCGTGCGACGGCACTACGACACCATGTGCCAAGAAAAGTTGACCCCCACGACCTCTGGCCTGTTCTGCCTCGTGCAGTGTCTCCGTCCTCGCGATGTGCTGCCATTCGTCCGGACGCTGTTCACCTCGGCTTCCGACATGTCAGCTGTGCCTCGGGATGTGTGCCACAGTGCGCTGGACGTGTGCCGCGTCCACGGGTTGTGGCGGGATGCCATCGCCTTGAGCCAACTCATGGTACAGATACGTATACTACTTACCTGTTTTCTATTTCTTTGATGGCTAACTTGTGGCTGTGGTGAACAGTCGAAAGAGGGCGTGGCCCCCACGAATGAAACGCACTCGGTGGTGCTGCTCGCGTGTGCCAACGCTGGCCAATTTGAAGCTGCCATGGCGTACCTCCACTCCAACATCAGCATCGCCACCACGTCCACCCCTTCGCCGTCCTCCCCCCTTAAGCATGCGCAAGCATCCATCGTCGACGTCTTCAACGCCGCCATCCACGTCTGCGCCAAGACCAACCACTTGGACGAAGCCTCGACCCTCTTCTACGGTACTTGCATTCTCCACACCCCAATAGCCAACCTGTAGAGTTTTCCAAGTATTATCATGATGTTGCTGCTGCGACTTCAAGCCCACATGGACCTCCCATCGGCTGCTATCTATCGTATTCCTGGGATGCGATGGAACTCACATATATTGGGCATTAGGGCTGCAAGACATGGGGCTCACTCCCACAGCCACGACGTATATGCGCTACATCAAGCTCCTCGCGTCGGCCGGCCACATCGACGACGCGCGGCGGCTGCTGCTGGACCTGCCGGCGTCCACGTCGATGGACGTTGGCGTGTACAACGCGCTCCTGCGTGCATGTTGCGTGCGCAGGGACGTGGACATGGCGTTCATGGTCCTGGCCGACTTGAAGGCGGCGGCGGCGGATTTGACCACTAGGCTATCACACAAGCCCTACAACGAATCACTGTCGTCCTCAAAACTCAACCCGAACGTTGTCACATACAGTCACATGCTGCACTCGCTGCTGCAATCGCCTGCGCATTCTGTCGGGGACATGCAGCGGCTGCTTCGCGAGATGACTCGAGAGGAAGGCATCGCTCCGTCGGCCGTCCCCTTCACGCTGGTGATGGTCAAGTGCTTGAAAGCCGACCAGCCGCGCCAAGCGATGGACGTGTACGATGCGATGCTCGTGCAGCACAACGTCCGCCCCGACGGCGTGGCCTTCCAAGTGTACCTGGACGCGTGGAAGCGGTGCCTGGAGGCGCCGCCGCGGGCGTCGGATGTCCCCGTGGACCTGCACGCGGTCACGAGCCACGTATTGGACCCCCAGTGGCAGCTGCTTGAACGCGCGCTGGACGACCAACAAGATGACGCGTCGCTCCTGGTGCTCCGGGTGTTTCAACTATTTGAAGTGATGTCCATCACAAGGCAGGTGAATGTCCTGGACGACGCGCGGGCCTTCCTCGACGCATTGACCGCCTTGGAAGACGACGAACAAGAACAACCGATTCAAGCGGCCAAGAAGAAGTTCGTGCTCGTCCGTGGGGACTCGTATGCGGTCGTGATGCGGCTGTTGAATGAAGGAGGACGAGCGGCCGAGGCCATGGCTGTGGTGGACCAGATGAACGCGAGAGGGACGGCCATGACCGTGGAAACCTATGTCGAATGGATGGTGGCCCTCGAAGCGGCAGAGCGATGGTCCGACAGCACGGATGCGTTTGTCGCCATGCGTCGCGCGTTTGGAACAGCGAACGTGTCCGTGGATCAGCTCAGTCGCACGTACATTGGCCGACAGTTCCTGCGGTCCAATTCGCTCCCGACGTTCGAACATGGCCCATCGCCGCCATAGAGTAGTAGTAGTTCCTAGGGGAGAATAGAGGCTAGGTAGTAGCAGCGTTTACGTGTCGGTAGAGATGAAAGGGCCATCCATCTCCATGAAGAATCAATCGATCATCATGCTGAACAATTAGTGATAAACGGATGTGATTGGCTGAATACGAATATATTGGGCCAATCCGAAGCCGTTCTTGCATATCACAAGCGGCGGTCAGCGGTCAGAACAGCATGTCGTACTTGACGACGTCTACCCACCTAAACAACTGGATCTTCACTCCAGACCAGCTCAAGCAGGTGGCAAGGCTCAAGGCAAACAAGGCGAGGAAGCAGTGGGCGATGTGTGCCGCGAACCCATTGCTCCAACGGAAACCTCGCTCGTTTGCATGTTTGTTGCCGGCGACGACCAACGCCACATTGGATGCCAGCGACTGGAACGATTCGTTAGAAGGTACACATGTCCGCATCAGTAGAACTGAACTAGCTTCATACACGTCGTCGTCGCGTAGAGGTCGACGTCGGCGTCGTGGACGACCCGTCCATCTTCTTGACCGATCACGAAGAAGCGATGGTGGTCGATTTCTATCAAGTCCAGGTCCAGAATACATGCACAACGGTCTTCAAAACGTCCGACAAAGTCAAGGTATCGCACGACCCTTCCTCGAGTTGCTTTATCCTGACTCAGTCATCCACCGCACAGGCGGCGGCGGTGCTTCTCTTCAAACGGTTCTACCTGTCCAACAGCATCATGGAGTTCCACCCCAAGTACATTGGCGCGACGTGCATCTACGTGGCGGGAAAGGTCGAGGAGCAATACATTAGCGTCGAGACCCTCGTCAAGTCTTACGATGGCGTGGTAACAAGCCCACCCCCGTGTCATCACGTCGTTCACCTCTGGATCCCTAGGTCAAGGAGTCGGATGTGATTGCCCACGAAATGATCGTGCTCGAAGGCGTGCGCTTCCAGCTGATCATGTACCATCCATTTCGATCGCTCACGGGATTCATCGACGACCTCCGCGCGCACTCCAAGTCGACGCGTCACACGGACGTGCCCATCTCGACGCTGCAGACGCTGCATGCCACGGCCACGGCGGTGATCAACGACCTGCTCCTGACGGACGCGCCCTTGTTGTACCCGCCGGCGGTGGTCGCGCTCGCAGGTTCGTTTCTCGTTTGATTTGTTTTTTATTATTATTAATATTCAATCTACGATATTTCAATGGCAAAAACTCACATTTGTCCTAACAAAAACCGAGGTTTCTTTCGGAAATGCGTATAGTACAATATATATAATATATATATACAATATATTTATAATACATATAGCCGCCAGCTTTTCATATATATGTTGTCCTATGCGTATATATATATGTGGATGAACAATATGGTAGAAAATGGCGTTTGTATGTGACACGGTGCGATTGTAGGATTGCAAGTGGCGACGACGGTAGAGATGGCCATCGACTGGACCAAGTACCTGTTGGCGTGCAAACGTGGGCAGGGGCAGTCCATGCACGAGGTCGTCCAAGCCATCCAAGAGGTCGTACAGCTCCGCGCGGCGCGGGAGGCCGACGCCGCGGCGTCCGAAGCGGAGCTCAAGTCTGCGTACAAGAAGCTCAAGGGGTTTTACAAATCGACGCCGAAGAAGGCGGCTGCGGACGAGTCCAAGGAGCCGAAAGCGAAGAAACACAAGTCCTCGGATGGGAAAAAGTCTAAAAAGAGCAAAAAGGGAGTCGCCTAAGCCAATCAATCAATCATGTATTAGCTATATGAGTAAAATGTCATAACTTCCGCGTCAAAAAGTGAGCTGTGAGTGTATATATATATATATAATATATACTCCGAGTAGTAGTAGTACTATAGCTCAGAAACCAAGAGAGCGGCAAAGTGACTGTCTACACTTGCAAGTCATCGCATGTAAGTGCATCCTACATATGAAGTGTACTTCGAAGTAGTTTTACAGTAGAAGCCCGTGGGTGATGATGGGTGGGATGCGTTTGTGTACCGTAAGTGGGTTCTTTCAATGAATCCTCGACGTCCTTCTTGGCGGGTCCTCGTTGTCCATCACGCACTTTCATGTCAACAGATCGAACATCAATCACTGTCATCGACGGTAGTCGGAAGGAATTCCGCCATCGCTCCAAGACCTTTCGACTTGACGTGACAGGCCCATCTTGATGTGAAATGTCACAGGGTGGCCTGTATGTTTACAAAATACTAAGCAACACTATACATATTGTTTATATACGATTTATCCACTCATTTTGGAATGTCAAAATACAAGTGCTTTGAGTATTGATTTTGTGAAAATAGACTTGCCAGCTCCCACGGTTGTGTGAAACCCCACCGTTTCGGCCGCCTTCAAAATAGGGAGTCGCTTCGTCTGGCGAATCCGTCGAAGCAACTTCAGATCCGATTTGACCGGCCATGGGACAGTGCTGCTCCAAGCGGTGCCCAGAGATCGATGACGGTGATGTGGTCAAGCCGGCCGTGGTCAAGGGGCTGTCGACCATCGAGGTATCGAGTCCTCAACTGCCCGCGTCGTCGTTCAATCAGTTGCGCTCGACCACCACCTCGACGCAACGCCGATCCCAAGCGGACACTGTGACAGCCATACGTCGCAGCTCACTGGAGGGAGGCAACAACGAGAATGACATTATTATGTCGTCAACGAGCGGTTCGCCGTCCAAGGACGACCTGTACGGGTCTTCGATCACGTCGTCCAAGTATATTTATACGTCGCCACCGTCGTCTCCGTCCAAGAGCAGCGACGAGCCCCAAGTCGAGGAGCTGCAGGATATTTCCCAGCAGGAGCCATCCGAACCAGTGTACGTGGCCCCCGAAGACCGACCGATCGAATCGGCGTTCATTCGGGAAGAGCGCATCCGGCTGGCTCAAATCCAAGAGCATTTGCGACTCGAGCGCCAGGAAGCGCATGAAAAATGGGTCGCAGAGCTGAGGGAAAAGAAGAAGGAATTTCTCCCCGACGTGGTCGTGTATCGGGATTTTTCCCCGCGGGTCGACTGACCGATGAGGCCAATGCCTGCGTGAAAACGGCGGCGGCTTTTATATATATAAACGTCATGTTTGGTCGTGCACTTATTTACGCTCGTTTGTAGCAGCTACTACTAGTACATACTAGTAAGTATTGATTCTTCCATGTACTAACTAGCGTCGTAACTTGGGAATGGGACAAGTCACCTAGATCAAGGGCTGGGATTCTTCCTCATTGTCTCCAAGTTTGCTGTGGTGGACGCCGTAGCATCCATATAGGAAAATGCCCACGCCCATCCACATGGCCACCCCCGTCCTAGTGTGATCCTTTAGTTGGTGATGGACAAAAGATGGTACCATGCAAGCAGCGGCAGACTGGTCATCATGTACGTGTTGGAGAAGATGCCCAGGCAGGGCACCGCGGGCACCCACGGACACACAAACACGGTCGTGGAGCACACCCTATGATAACGTCATCCTCTCTCTCTCGTGATAACGTCATCATGATGACGTACGGATGGAGGGTGCCGTTGTGAATCCACCAGTACGTGAGCAGCACCGTGGAGCCAAGGGCCAGTTGGACGGAGGTCGGGACGTCGACGTTGATGGCGAGGCATGTGGCCAACGAAGACACGACAAACGACAGCAGACGGACCGGGAACGCCGCTGTCGACAGCATGTGGAGATGGCTAGTAGTACTAGTACTAGTAGTCGTGTCGAATCGCAAGACCAGCAGACCGGCGTTCACAAACGTAAACACCTGAAACGTATGTGAATACGAGTCGTCATATGCGATACTGGGAGATGTACTACCATGAGAGTGCCGCATGAGATGACGTTGGCGAGGACATTCAGGTCGAAAAAGTAAGCAAAAGCCGCCACTCCGACGCCAGTCAGAACCGTGCTCCAATATGGCACCTATATGTATATACTGTAATTCAGTTGCATAGTAGATATTTGCTTTGACGTACTTGAGTGGAGGCATGTACTGCCGAGAGGCACTCGGGCAACAAGCCCTGTAATATACATGGTATAGTTTATAGAGGATTGAGGACACGATCTATGATAAATATATATATAAATATATATATTGAACAGACGTCTTTGGACATTTGGTAAAAGATGCGCGGTTGGCCCATGAGACACGTAAATGCGGCGGTCGTGAGGCCAAACATGGACCCGAACGACACGACGTGGGAGACCTACACTCTGGAATCAGACTCTCCATAAACAGATGGTGAAACATGATATGTCACGATGACATACCCAAGGGAGGTGTTGATAGTCAAACGCGTTCACGATGGGCACGTCTGTGCCCAGCACGGCCACGGGCGCCATGCTACCCCAGCCCTCCATGAGACCCCAGGATACAGTACGCGGCATAATATGGACAACGAAGGTGCGTACCCTGTGACAACCAGGGACACGCCAATGTAGATGGACATGGAGATGAGGAGCGACCCGATGATTCCGCGCGGTACGTTCGTCTGGGGGTCGGGCACTTCCTCGGCCAAGCAGGCCACCATGTCGAAGCCAAGATACGCGAAGAAGATGACGCCCGCGCCTTGCATCACGCCATGCACGCCCTGACGACAACGAAGAAGATGAGGGGGTCCATTGTCCTCTTGATGACGATCCATCGTACCTCTGGCGCGAACGGCTCCCAGTTGGCCACGTCCACTTGGGTGCTCCCCACGGCAATGACCAACACCAGGACGGCCACGTTCAACCCCGTAACGACCATATTGAATTTCGCAGACTCCTACGCTTTACTATGACACAACAACGAAAGTGGAGGGCTGCGTACGTGCACCCCGGCGAGCAAAATCACGCTTAACACGACAATCAAGGCGGCGGCCATGGCGCTGCAGCTCATGCCCCACACGTCGACGGTGATCCATTCGTGGGGGATTTGGATGTTCCATTGCTACATATGTCATCTTGTAAGCATGTCGAGAATGATCACAAGATGGTCAGAGCTTGTGTGAACGCACCCGCATGAAGATGACGACGTACGACGCCCAACTCCGTGCGATGCCAGCTACGCCATAAGGTGACGACGTGGACGCAGGGATATGGAGTACCAGCGGAGATGCCGTATCCAAGCATGAGGTTCCACCCGATCAACCATGCAGCCAATTCCCCAAACGTGACGTAGACAAACGAATATGCAGACCCAGTGATCTAATGCACGAAGTTGAGGAACGAGTACGGACGAGGCAAACACCATACCGGCACTCGCGCGGCAAACTCCGAATACGTGAGTGACGTGAAGATGCACGCGATACCGCTAACCAAGAACGAGATCGAGATCGACGGGCCCGTGATGCTTGCGCCGATGCCGATAAGCGAGTACACGCCAGCACCAACGGAGCATCCGACTCCGTAGCAGATCAGATCGAAGAGGGAGAGACACCGCTTGAGTGACGCCGTGTGGTCGTTCAGGTGGAGGTTCTTCGGCAGGGGCTTCATACGACCGAACGCTTCCAGCCAAGCCGAGACCATAAGTAAGTTCACCCTCGACGGCGGCGAATGAACTCGAAATGAGATTATTTTGTAGAACCCAAAGGCAATACTAATAATCCCAACACGAAATTATCATCAATTTTATTGTTTTGGTATGGTAACCTTATGTTTAGTATGGAAGTTAAAGAAAGTAACATTTAATTTCACTTTGAATTCATGATATCGAGGGTACCCAAGTTCAACTTGAACGACACCGTTCAAAATCTGACGCCAAAACTAAGTCATTATCATGGCAAATGCGCGCTTCTTCACCCCGCCGTGTAACTTTCCAGTACGTAGGAAGGATGCTTCGTTAGAGGGGATGGTTAGTTGAATGCACGTCGCTCCCCAACTCAGTGTTACACAAAAGACACCATCCAAATCCAAGATGGGCTGATATTTCAAGGCATAACGTTACAGTAGGTGGGCAACTGCTTTGGCTTGGAATGGCAAAGTTACCTTGACGTTACAGTACCTGAGGGCTATGTGGATTCAAATACAAGTGCGAGACGTAAGTCCAGCAAAACCCATTCACTAATGTAACCTTGGAAATTACCGCATGAAATACAATACTAGTATGTGGTCGGGAGCGTTAGCATTGCCCATTCACGTACAATTATTATCCGTTTATAAAGGTATACCTTTAACCTAATTATGCGGACTGCACTAATTTTTGACCTCGTCGCCAGACCTACGGCACATGTATTAGTGCGGACTGCACCATATCTCTGCACTAATTATGGGCTTGGAGAATTAGTGCGGACAGCATCAATTTTGAATATTGAGAATTAGTTAGGATTAATATCTTGATTTTTTTTGTACGTAACGTTAGTATAAACTAGTATGGGTGAATATGATACTATTAATAAGTACACCGTTCGGACAATTTCAGTCGGACATACTTGACATTTGTCTGGACTTAAGGGAAACATATTTTGTCGGAATGAAATTGTCTGAATGGAATTTGTTCGGACATACTTGTGTATCGTATACACCCGCATAAGAACGATCAGCTTTACAGTACTTATTAATAGTATGTGGTGCAACTATTCGCATTTAATGCGTGAATCTACCAACATTTACAGTTATTGTGCTTTTCACTCGTTTTGGCTATTCACACCATAAACCTGGGTGTTTGTTACATCGACCCCAGTGTTTTAGATAATCCGTAGAGTGAATTAGGATCACGTTTCGTTACAGAATGTAATTATAGGGAGGTGATTTATGCAACTCCCTCGCTTTTGCACATTTGAAAAGTGCAAATCGAAGTTATATCTGCTATTCTCGGGACCAAATTGCGCAATTCACTGGTCATCATAAACAACTTTTGATAATACAAATGACACACAGCGAGGACATGCGCCGGAGTTCTACCGTACAGCAATGTACGTATGGTGCTATATCGTAGAAAACCACGCCATCTTCTTGTTCCATCGCATAGTACATGCAGGTAGCGCGTACTACGCGATGGAATAACAGCCAAGGTGTTTTGGTTACTTCAGCATCACATGTGATTATTATTGCTCAGAGTTATTAGGTATTTATAAAACACCAGGTATTTATTCAACTTTGTAACACAGTTACAGCAGATGTACCACTCTTTTAGCCACGTAAACCGACGCCAAAACAAGTGCAAAGCACAATAATGCGTAAAATTACCTCGCACTTGAGACACACTAAAAACAAATCAATTTATTGGCTATTAAGTTAACCAATCATACTAGCCCATACGACGGTAGGAGAAGGAGGTGGAATGCATATTGATTGGTGTAAACAAAGTTAAGCTGTATCCAATTAAAAATTAGTCATCGACGTCGTTGCAGCCTCCATGTTTCTAGTGCAAAATGGATGACGCTCTTGTGCTGTGTGTTGCTGTTGCGGTTGCCATCGAAGCCGACTTCTCGTCGACCGATGGCCGTAGCTACCTACCTCTCCTACATTACAAAATTCCATCACGGAACAGGCTATATAACCTGTTCTGGACCGCACTAATTCTGAATCCACACTATTGTCGATTTGATACAAGGTGTGCAATCGAATCGTGCCGACCAAACCGATCCACAATCGATCTGATTGGTTGAATTTCATATATTGAGAAGGTTTTGATTGGCTAATAGGTAGCCAATCAAATCGATTTAAATTCCACCGAGAAACAACGAAATTTCACTCGAAAGCACAACAATTCTGAATCCACACTAATTCTGAAATCAATACTAATTCTCAATCCTTACAATTTACTATCAACGGTCTAGGGTCGATGGGGTCGGTTTCGTTGGGTCAGGGGAAACCTGTGTGGCCAACACGACGGGTTCAAGACGCCGGCCCAGAACCCCTCATCGGTCGTTGACGAGGACCTGGCCTCGCGGCTGCGGAGTCTTGGCGGGGGCTGCCGTGCCGCGCTTCTTTCTTCGGGCACCGTGGGCAGCAGGAACGCCTGTCGTCCGCTTCGCCAGTGCAGCCCATCGGCGGGATGGCTATACCAGCATCGTTGGCAACAAATCCGTGCCGTTCCATCCCGCCGATGTGCTGCACTGGCGAAGCGGACGACAGGCGTTCGTGCTGCCCACGGTGCCCGAAGAAAGAAGCGCGGCACGGCAGCCCCCGCCAAGACTCCGCAGCCGCGAGGCCAGGTCCTCATCAACGACCGATGAGGGGTTCTGGGCCGGCGTCTTGAACCCGTCGTGTTGGCCACACATGTTCCCCCCGACGACGACCCTACCCAACGAAACCGACCCGATCGACCTGGACCTGCTTGTGAACACTCTCCAGCGGCCTCGCTTTGCTGCAAACACAGTGAAAATCAATCATCATTCCTGGCAGTTTTTGGCGTATAAATATACTCCTGACAGTTTTTGTCCTAACGTTATAACTTCAAGGGTATTTACATTCTAAATAGGGCTCTCTAATGAGTGTGAAATCAGGATTTGGACATCGTTCATGGCTTTCACCTCACGCCCGATAGCTTCCTGCAGATCGCCCACGTGCGCATCTTCGAGTGCGATGTTCACGTCAAAGGTTGTTGCCTCGCCGTACACTGCACACCACAGGTTCTTCACCTCTGCCATGTTCGGCGAACTGCCAAATGTGCAAACTGCGAATCTCTCAGAATCGAATTGTCCTTGATACTGTTATGGAGCATTTATCCGGATGCTCGTGAAATGTTGCGACGACTGCTCCACCCGCTCCACCCCTGCCGGATGACTTCGACGCAAGCTGAACATGGGAGACGGTCACAGCAAGGACAGTGGATGGAGAAAGTCAAGGTATCCATAGCTTCAAGCCGCGCGATCCGTGGAGGCAACTACGTGCAGCTTGCCACAGTGGACGAGACAGGGCAGCCGCACTGCCGCACCATCGTATTCCGCGGCTTCGTTGCCTTGCCATCGGGCGGCCTCGCGTTGAAAATGATCACAGATGCCCGCAGTGACAAAGTCAGCCAAATCCAGCACAATCGCTCATGTGAGATGGTATGGTGGTTCTCCCAGACATCCGAGCAATACCGCATCGCTGGCCACCTTGAGCTTGTCGCTGCCGATTCGACAAGTCCTTGGGCGGTGGCGGCGCGAAGCGAGCAGTGGAATGCATTGAGCGACACGGCCAAACAACAGTTCTTCTGGTCCAAGCCAGGCATGTACGACCCCCTTGTTGCTTCGTCCGTCGCAAACGAAGGCGGTCATGGCCTTCCCCCGGCGACATTTCTGCTGGTGCTGCTCCAGCCGTCCATTGTCAAGTACCTCCGACTCAGCGATAACGCCACCCTCCACGAAGCATTCCTTCCAGACGGAACGTGGGAACGTCGGTCGTCCATCCAATACTAATTTTACTATCAACTAACGTTACTTGAACGTACTAACCAATGCCTACCCATCCTACAGCACTGTAGGAGTCTACTGTATCGACCTAGGTACATGGCGCCATTCCGTGGGTAACAAGCAGAACTGTAGTGGCTTGTAAATTAGGAAATAAAGAAGCACAAGAGTCGATAGATTCCTACGCCAAGCGCCGCTTCTTGCGCGCCTGGATCATCTCCAACGCGAGCGCTTCCCTTCCCTTCATGCGGCGGTCCTCGTCCAAGTCCTCGTCACTGCCAACATCAGACCCTTCTTCGTCACCATCATCATCATCTTCGTCGTCGTCATCACTTCCGCCACCCAACACGGCGACAGCTGCGCCGTCTTCGTCTTCGCGGTCGCCCTTGCTCTGCTGGCGCTTCTTGGTGTGTTTGGCGCGCACGCGGTCCTTCTCGAGCTGTCGGTCCTCACTGTCCTTTTCCAGCAGTCGCTTGGCCACCGACGCCTGGAACGCCTTGGCCTGCTCTGCCACGTTGGCAAACCCGTCGACGTTGGAGGCGGCGACCGCGTCGAACGGTTGCAGCGTGTTGCCGTCGTCGTCAAACACGACCTTGGACGCGCTCGACGCGTGAATGCGGATCTTGGCCTTGGGTTTCTTCTTCGTTTGCGCAACTTGCAACTCGCCCACATCTTCGTCCTTGTCCCAGTTGTGGCGCTGCTTGACCACCAAAAAGTCTTCCTCGTCGCCGTCATCACTGTCGTCGTCATCGCTGCTATCACTGCCATCCCCAGACGACGCGGTAGGCTCGTTCTGCTGTTTGGAAGCTCCCAACTTTTTGAGCAACTTCTCGGCCTTGATCTTGTCCTTTAGCGCCTGGAGCTTGCGGTTGACGTTTTTCTTTTCGCGGTTTACTTCGCGGGTCTGCGCCGCCACGTCCTTGAGGAACGGCATGCGTGGGGCATGGGGCAATCCGTACGCCGACGCCAACTGCTCCGTGTCGAGCGCCGTCGCGTCAAAGATGTCCTTGGCCGGCTGCAGGTAGATGGACCGGACGTACGACATGAACGCCTTCTGGGCCAGCGCCTTGAGCTCCTTGTCCGCCGCCACGATGGACGCCACCTTGCCGTGGGTGCTTTGGGTTTTGGCAGGATTGACTTCGATCTTGGAAATCGGAACGTTGGCATCTTCGAGACCTGCGAGCAGCCCCGTCACTTCGGACGCCAGCAGTAGCATCAACGCGCGGCCGTTCTTGTTGTACCTACTCGATCGCTTGAAAAGGGTGAGGAGAGAGGTGAGGTTGTACCGAGCCGTGCGGCCCACACGATGGATGTAGTTGGGCGTGTCTTCCGGGGCATCGAGCTGGACCACCCAATCGACGTTGGGAAAGTCGAGCCCTCGTGCTGCCACGTCAGTGGCAAACATGACGCCGGCAGGTTTGTTGACAAAGTTGTAGTACACTTCCACGCGCTTGCCTTGCTTGTACTTGCCATGGAGCGCCGACAATGGAATCCCCGGCTGCATCTTGCAAAACACGTCGTGGATGAACCGGACCTACGCCATCCACATAGAGTTATACGCATATATTAATGTGAATATATTGTCGATTTGATACAAATTTGGGAGGGGGTGCAATCGAATCGCGCTGACCAAATAACCGATCCACAATCGATCTGATTGGTTGTTAAATTTCATTGAGAAGGTTTTGATTGGCTAATAATTTTGAGCTCATCTGAAGTAGCCAATCAAATCGATTTAAGTAATTCCAACGAGAAACCACGCCACAACACGAAATTTCACTCGAAAGCACAATATCATGACATATATATATATATTTGGTGGGTCATTTTCAGTTTACATTAACGAGAGGTTTCTATCGACATCAAAAAGTGGACACAAGAATTGAGCCAATAATAAAAAAACCATCAACATGCAATTGGTGTATGACACAAATTAGTGTGATGGGCATCGTATCCTAATCAATACTACTACTCGTGTGGATACAAAGCATGCGTCTAAATAGTGTGGGAAGACATATACCTGTCGACAGGTCGACACAAACACGATGGTTTTCTGCTTGAGATGCGACTTGATGAATGAGAAGAGCACGTCCAGCTTTTGGCCGACATCGCACACCATGTAGTTCTGCACGAGTCCGCTGGGCGTGGCGGAAGTCGACTTCTCATGCACGGCGACGTACTCGGGCTCGTTCAAGCTCAGCCTCGCGAGGTCCTTGATGGACTTGGTCTGCGTGGCGGAGAAGAGCATAGTCTGCCGCTCGGACGGAAGGTACCCGATGATGGCGGTCAATTGGTTGGAGAAGCCCATGTCCAGGATGCGATCGGCTTCGTCTAGAATCAACACCTACACGAACATGAATGGATATGAGGATTACGCTCCAGGAGACGACAACGGGCACATACCTGGAGGTTGGACAGTTCAAAGTTGGCCGTTTGCTCCATATGCTGCAGCAACCGCCCGGGGGTCGCCACGAGAATGTTCATCTTGATGATGCGGTATTGCTCTTCCTGAAAGTTCTTGCCGCCGATCACAAGCCCCGCCGAGAACGTATGGGACTTCCCAATGGAACGAAGCACTTCAAAGATCTGCATGGCCAGCTCGCGTGTGGGGGAAATGACCAGCGCGCCGACGCCGTCTTCTACGTCCCATCGCTGCCGGAACAACTTCTCCAACATGGGGATCAAGAACGCCAGCGTTTTCCCGGACCCTGTCTTAGCGGCGGCAAGGATGTCACGACTGTAAGGTTGGTGGTTAGATGATTATATGACAACAAAGGGTGATGTGTGTGTACCCTGCCAAGGCATGCGGAATCGTGCCGATTTGAATCTTGGTGGGTTTGGCGAACTTGCCTCGCTTCAACCCATTCTTTGTCGAGATGGACAGCGGCATCATGTCAAAAGACTCGATGTCGTCCATCTGCGTCCCTCTCTCGGGAGTTTCCAGGCTAATGCGCTCCGTCAGCTGGGCCACCTCCTTCGCTTCACGTTCATGCTGCTTTTCCTTGTTCATCGGCGCCACAAAAGTTTCCAAGGTAGATTGAAGTCCGAGGCATGGACCAATCGATTGGCCCCACCAGTTATTGCAATGTGCCTATCCAATCGTATGATTCGTTCATTATTGGCCAATCAATGGCGTTTATTTAATGTACGTCGAATCGAATACAGTAAGGCAGGATAATTTACAAATGAATTAAATTCAAGCTAAATACTACATAGTCTAACCAAGATTATGAAATTATATACCTGGGAGCATTTATACCAATTGTATTGCATTTCAGCACACTATAAATGAACCCCAAAGTCCACAAGACAGGATGTACACCGCCATCACCATGCTGGCATCTCGCGCTCGACGAACATGTGTCCGTCGGTCTTTCTCCATCCTTGGCGGCATGTCTGACGATTTGCTCATCAGGTAGTCGTGCATGAAGGAGCCCAATGCATCTCGTGACAGCAGATGTCTCTCATAGCATGAACATGGGGCATTCCATTGGAGGCACTTCGCAAGCGACATTGGTCGACAGTCTCATCAACGCCGGTGTGCTGGTGACCCCTCGTGTTCAAGACGCCTTCCGCAGTCTGGATCGAGGCCAATTCGTCTTCCCCGGCCACAATCCAAGCGACATTTACGCCAATCGTCCGTTGAAGATCGGCACCATCGCGACGATTTCTACGCCCCAGCAACATGCGCAGGCACGACCCACCTCGTCGTTATGCATGTCGGTCTCTCACATTGGCATAGGTCATTGAACTTCTGGCTGCGCACCTTCAACCTGGCCATCGCGCCATCGACGTGGGCTGCGGGTCTGGCTACTTGGCCGCCGTCATGGCGACCCTCGTAGGTCCGACCGGCCACGTCACTGGCGTCGACATCGTGCCGTCGTTGGTCGAGTTCTCCACAGCGAACGTGACAAAGGCCGGCGTGGCATGCAACTTTACGTGGACCACCAGCAGTGGGAAGGAGATCTTGGCTCCGACGGCGTCCTTCGACGGCATCCACGTCGGCGTGGCCGTGGAATCCATGGACCAAGTCGATGCGTTGGCGACCCATTTGAATCCTGGCGGCGCCCTCGTCGTGCCTCTGGGATATGCTGCGTCAGAACAATTGCTGCTCAAGGTACGACGCCTTGAAAGCGTAGTATGAAAATAGTGAATGAACGTGTTTGCATGTACAGGTGGTGAAACACCCCGACGGAACGATCATCAAGGAGCGGGTCATGAGTGTGCTATGCCAACCTCTGCTGGACCAAGCCCCAGCGCCGCTGCCCGTGCCCGAAACGCGGGCGGACAAGGTGGCCCGACTGCAGGCGGCATTGGAAGCATGGAAGGTGTCCTTCGTCACGACCCACGGCCGCGCGCCGACGCGAGAGGACATTCTGCAGGACGACATTGCCCGTCGACTGTTTGCAGACTTTGCCGCCACGAGAAAGTAAAGCTTACAAATATACTGTACTAACGTTAGGGAGATTTCGGAGATGAGTATTTGTCTTCATCCTTAAAATAACCTCTGAGGCTTTATAGGGTTGAGGAAAACTCCGGAACTTAGTACCAGAATAATGGGTCCATTTTGGGGATTCGAATCCTCGACCATGATTGGCCAGATCTGTTGACTTGTGATTGGCCAGATAAGTTGACTTGGTGCAACGCTTTTTTGCCGTTGGCACTTCGAATGGAGTGTGGACGGTGGAAGCGTGGAGGATGACCCACATGAAGTGGAGGTTGATCAGAGGCGCGGTGGGAGCGAACCAAATTAATGACAACCTCTATCTTTATGCATAGTGACGCAGAATCCCGTGCACGATCACATGTATACACTTGTAGGAACTATGAAAACAAATTAGGCGGCACCCGACGCCTCAGCTTAGTCGGCCGCGCCTAGCAGTACATCCGGCCGGAGCTGTTACAGCTCCGGCCGAACCACTGGTACACTGTACCAGTGGCTATCAACGATATCTTAAAAGCACCAGATAAGTACTAGTATAGAAGCACTCCTCTGCAGCTGGCGCTTTGGTGCCAGTTGCCGAGGCGTGCTACTTAGATTCAAGCCACTCCTTGCCTTCGTAGCTACACTGTACAGTGTACGCCTGTCCGAACGTCCTACAGATAGAACAACTGAACTAACACAACATGAGTTTCAATCAATTCAATGCTTCGTATGTTTCTGTCGTCCCTACTAGCCCCAACGCTTCAACGGCGAATGACCCATGGGACGACATCACAATGACCTCTACTAACATCAAGAAATGGAATTGATTGATTTATGGGGGGGGGGTATTATATTAACGTTAGGGCGATTACGAGGTCTTGGCCTGAACCAATTCTTCAATCTACAATCGCATTCGTACGTGAGTATTCATGCAAAATATGATGGAAAAAAGCGAGGGGAATGGACGGACTGGACGCACCTTTTCCCACTTGGAGCCCACGTACTCGCCAATCACTTGGCCCTTGCTGTAGATCTTCACGGAAGGCAGGGCGGACACACCCAAGTCGACGGCCAAGTCTTCCAGGACGGTGGTGTCGACCTTGACATACGCGACTTTGTCGGACGCCTCTTTGGCGAGCTTGTTGAGCTTGGGCGTGATGAGCTTGCATTGACCACACCATGGCGCGGAGAAGAGCACGACGGTGATCTTGTCGGCGCCGGTGAGCTCAGCATAGTGCTCTTCGCTTTCGACAGGGGAGATGGCAGACATGGTAGTGCTTGGGGAGTTTCTAGTCAATTCAGTTGTGACCACCTCTTCAACGCGTTAACGGGTGTGTGTGTCAACTTGTTTTCTATTGGCTATAAAGCTTTCATGTCTCGAGATGATAATGCGATTCCATTGGCTATAAATCCAATGTGTCACCTATCACTTTCATTATTTGACCAATCCGCATCGCGAAGGAAATCCTCCGAATTCCGCTAAACTCGACACCGCATCCTTGGCGAAGTCCACCGACGTTGACGACAATCTAAACGACATCGGTCGTGCCGTACGTGGCCGGCCTGCGCTTCTCTGCCATGGAGCGCATGCGACTCATCTTGGGCCGACCGCTTCGCTTGTTCTCGATATTGAGCTTCATGCGCTGCAAGCTGGGCGATGTGTACATCGGCGACTTGGATTCGTGCTCCTTGCCCCGCTCTTCCCGCTCGGAATGGTACACGATCAGCCCCATCTACAAGTTTGATCCCATCCTCCTCATATGCCATCGTTGCCTGATCTGCCGCGTACCACAATGATGAACAGCGCAAACCCGTCAAAGATCGTGAACTTTTGCTTGGCCAGCGGGCCAGCAAGGACCGGGAGCATGTACAAGACGTCCGTGAGCGGCAAGCACACGGCCGACGAGATCACAAACAACACCGAGCTGCCTTCCTTGAACACGAACATCATCAACTAGTACACCGCCCCATCATCCCTTGGTTGCTTTGAAGCGATGCTGACGAGTGGACACTCTCTCACCGTATTGTACAGCACATTGAACAGAATGTACTGCAAGTACACGACAAAGATGCCGCCGTCGCACGGGGACGACACGCCGTTGAACGTGACGTTGTGCCCGAAGAAGCACTCGTGGGCCGAGGCCAAGTACGCGGAAAAGTCGGAGAGCACCACCGGCGGGTCGGAAAAAGCTTGCATCTACTCACGGCACATTGGCAATGCTGTACAAGTTGCTGGCAAACGACGTACCTGGATAGTCCAAAAGGTTAAGCCGCCCCAGAGGAGCTGATACGAGCTGACCCAAGCGTTGGCGTACCAAATGTCCAGGTCCACGTCTTTCAACCCGATTTCCTTGTACACTAGCGCATTTAGATGAGACATAAACCAACATTGATGAGGACTGTATGTATGTACCGTTGGAAGCTGCCGCAGGTAGCATGGCCAACACGTAAAGCAAGATCCAGCCAAAGGAAGGGTCGGGGCTGTTAAGGGCCACTTCGCCTCGAAAGAGGGGAATCATGCAGACGAAGGCGCCGTAGAGCACCAAGATCGCACCCATCATGTGCGCGCGGTGGTATTGCGTCCCCAGTACCATCACGGACAGAAGCATGTTGAAGGGCAACGTGACTTGATTCAACACATTCGCGAGGTTGCCCCTACGACCAACCACCACAACATGTAAGGCTTGGGACAACGAGGGGATCCTCCAACCCGATGTGGGGTGTGGGCAGGGCAGACATGAAACTGTTGGTCATGTCCAAGAACGCCATGATCGCATACTTGTAATGCGGGAACGCTTTCATTTCGGGCGTGATGTCCTCTGCAGCCTCTTTGTTAGATGGACTACACTGGTGGGGGAAACTAACGTACTCGTAAAGAACAGCTTGTACCACACGATAGGCCACGTGATGACAAGGAACGCGACGGGGTTGATGATGTTGGAGTAATACCACAGAAATTGCTGGTAGTCGTACGTGATGCGCCTGGGGTCATTCAACACCAGGTAAACCTCGACCCCATCGTGGAAGGACATCAACGTACGTGTTTAAGACGCGGTCAACGCATCGTGCCAGGACGAGGACGACCACGCCCGCCATGAGCTTGGACTCGAGGAAGAGTCCCTTCAAGTTCATCGCGACACCCTGTCCGTCAATCAAATGTGCGATCTTGAGACTTTTTGACACTTTTGCGATCTTTACGTTCGAAACGTGTTTGAAACAGCATAAAAAACGATGTTTGAAACGGCATTTCACATTTACAAAGATCTTCAATACAGTAAGTACTGTAGTACGTAGTTGGTCATCATCATTCGGCGATTGCTGGATGATGTTATACCTATCTATCTCTATCTACACGGCGTCCTCGGTGGCCACGGCGCCATAACCGCACGATACGACGCGGGTCGAGGTCGCTTTCTTGCGGCGGGTCTGGATGTTGGCTTTGAGGCGGCGCACGCTTGGCGACGCGTACAACGGGGACTTGAGCACGCGGTCCTTGCCCACCCCTTGCTCTTCCTTTTCAGAATGGTACACGACCATCCCAAGCTACGAGACCCCACCACTTAGAAACGAACGACATGGCAACGACCTACGATGATGATGAAGAGGGCAAACCCATCAAAGATGGTAAACTTCTGCGCAGCCAACGGTCCCGCCAACGCTGGCACCATGTACAAGATGTCCGTGAGGGGCAAGCACACGGCCGACGAAATCACAAACAGCACCGAGCTGCCTTCTTTGAACACGAACATCATCAGCTACACACGCATATGTCAACCACCACGGTATTGCTACACAAGATGGGAGTACTGTACCACGTTGAACACGATGTTGAACACAATGTACTGGATGTACGTGGTGAAGATATCCCCGCCGCACGTCGACGTGACGCCGTTGAACGTCGTGGGGGTGCCAAAGAAGCAATTGTGCGCCGATTCCACATACGACGGAAAGTCATGCCACGCCACCGTCGGGTCTGAAAATGCAGGCAGCTACATCCGACTAAGTATTTCGCCCCGACAGAACATGAGCAAAGACGACGTACTCGAATGGTCCAGACCGTCAGGAGCCCCCAGCCCACTTGGTAAAAGCTGATCCAGGCGTTGGCGTACCAAATGTCCAAATCCACGTCTTTCAAGCCGATTTCCTTGTACACTGTTGATGCAACTGAGCTTTAGTTCTGGCATGAGGCGAAGGAACGCACCGTTAGCACCCGCAGACGGGATGCACGACACCACGTAGAGAAGGATCCAAAGAACGGACGGATCGGGACTGTTGAGCGCGACGTCCCCGCGGAAGATGGGAATCATGCACACAAACGCGCCGTAGAGCACCATGATCGCACCCACAACATGCGCGCGCTTGTATTGAGTTTGCAAAAACCAGCGCGACAAGATCATCGTGAATGGTAGACTCACTTGGCCCAACACATTGCTCAAGTTCCCCCTAATTGCAGTCACATGATGATGAAGTGGCTGGGGACATCTGTACATACCCAATGTGAGGAATGGGTACGGTTCCAAGCAAATTCGAGGACATGTCCAAGAAAGACATGACCATAAACTTGTAATGCGGCACAGCTTTCATTTCAGGCGTAATGTCCTCTGCTCAAGACATCATCCATTAGCATACAGTACTCCGTTGGGAGAAGGACTTCATGGCAACGTACTTGTAAAGTAGAGTTTGTACCACACGACGGGCCAGCAAAAGAACTGAAATGCCACGGGGTTGATGATGTTGGCAAAGTACCACAGGTATTGCGCGTAGTTGTACGTGATGCGCCTGGTTGTTTGGTTAGGTCATGAAGCCCACAGGGTCCTTACGTGTTGTAGACGCGGTCGATGCATCGCGTTAGCACGAGGAAGACCAATGCGATGATGAGCTTGGACTCTTGCAGCCACTTCTTCACGCCGCCTCCACCCATGGCTTTTGGGGTTGCTGGAAGATTTCACACTGTGGTGTTGTGGCATTTCCCCCACTTGAAGTTTGGTATGATTGGTTGGAATACAAGTAGATTCCACCAATCATAAAGTGACGTTTCAGTTTGTCGAAACGTCAGCATGTCATGTTTCCTGACAAGCTCCAGAGTTGCCGTTCATGACATGCAGCATTGGTGTAGCCAAGCTGTTCAACCACTATACGTCGTCACTTGACAGTCCAGTGCTGTAGCCACGTCCGATTGGCGACGCTGCGAGGTTCCAACGTGGCGTCGTCGGCAACAACTCAGTCACTGATCGTTCCTGTTGGTGAGATCATCCATCTCGAGGTGCGTACTGTAGCAACCATAGAAGGAAGGAGGTGGAGTCGAATTTGACACACTCTCGATTGCCATCACACATGCTGCTGGAGACCCTTGCAAACACGACGCTGGTACGTTTCATTCATGGGCCGCCGTCGCCATGAGTGCGTATAAGGTAAGATAACAATATGTTTCTACGTAGGAACTACGTACTGATATTAATTGTATTTGGAGTTACAGGGAATGACGTATTAAGCGCCCCCGTGGTACTTCGAATTGGCATTTCAATTGTGTATTGGGACAAACTACTTCGAAATTTCAATACTTTAATCAATACGAAATTTTAGTACCACGGGGGCGTTTAATACGTCATTCCCTGTAATCCGTTGGGGAAGTACGTGGTTCCCTCGCGGAGGAATGTCTTAAAAATGATAATCCAAACTCAATTAACCGTTGGGGAAGTACAAATGCGACATTTCCCGTTTGGTACTAGAAACGTTACTTCGTACAGTACAACTGTAGGATGTGCCGATTTTTCTTCATTTTCGAATATTTCAGTTGTTTTTTCGAATGTATTGGATGGATAACGTTGAGCTCTTTCAAATGATTAATTGAGTTTGGATTATCATTTTTGAGACATTCCTCCGCGAGGGCCGATACTAGAACCACAAGTTATGGAACCGCTTCGCCAATTGTAACGCGCCTACTCGACAAGGGCGGTGTGTAATCTTCGGTTTTTACTTCGCTCAACGCTTCATACCTCGTGCTTCGACCGATCTTCTTCGAAGTTCGGTCCTCGCCTTCGTACGGACGGATAAATCCTTGCGGAAATAATCCGGGGAAGCCGGGGATCGAACCCACGACCTTTGAGTTAAGAAACCGATGCTCTATCACTGAGCTATTTTCCCTCCCCCAGCTCTTTCAAATGAGCACAAAGTACAGTATCTGTATATCGATTTATACAGTTTAGGATTGCACAATTAATTTTTGAAGTTGAGTACTACCAGTACTTCGAAGTACGGACCAAACGAACTTGACGGTAGACGTAGCTATATAATTACTTGGTCACTAACTTTGGACGGTGAATCATTGGTTTGTTCGTTGACAGATTTCAATTCGATTTAGACGGTAGCCAGACGGTTCCCAATAGCAACATGGGGAGGGATACCGGTAGACCATAAATTGGTTGTTGCGTCTTGCATACGACGGTCTCAACGTTGACGTTTAATTTGATAGCAATCCGGACGTCCAAATGGGGGTCATAAACAGTGGATAATGTCTGCTTAATTTTTCTCAGGGGGTTAGATAGCTCGCTGCCAACACCCTTTCGGAACGAGTGCGTGCCGACATCATGAACCAAAACGCCAGAGGACGACATTTCCGTAGTGTGCACCCCACCCCGCATGTTTTTGACAGCGATGTTAAGAATCGTTCGCCCGCGTTTTCGCCGAAATGAGGTTGCATGCTGAAGAGCCGTTGAACCATGTTGCTCGTTGGAATGACAAACTTCAAACAGCACTATGCAGACGAACTTTTGGCTCCAAAACGTCGCCGAATGGGACCTACAGCAAGCAAGTCCTGCTGTTTGAAGTTTGTCATTCCAACGAGCAACATGGTTCAACGACTCTTCAGCGTCGCGAAGTACATCATGACAGACCATAGAAAGCACATGCATCCGGTGAATTTTGAGATGATCACAACTTATTCCTTCGGGCGAATGCATTGGAATGTTTACTCCCTTGTGTAATACTTGGTAATATATTTGAACAATTATCGATATTTTGAATTAGTAAACAGTTATCTATTATCGAGGTCGGCGAATATCGTGAAATCTATTGGCCGAGGCGCCATGTTAGATAGTCGCAATAAATATATTATTTCGGAAGCCTGGTGCCAAGCAAGCGTGAAGAAAGGACGCGAAGTGACCCATAATCAAGGCTAGGCTAATGGTACGTTGATACATCTGCGTCAAAATACATTCACTATCATCCTATTTAGACTCACTTTGATTGCGAAGGGCAGCGGGGGCATCATTGCGGGGTACATGAGTGCACGTATATTGGCTGATTTTTGTTGCGTACGGTAATTCTCTAAGCGCGTTTTTATGTTGCTACAACTTGGCATATATATAGATAGAGTCAGCACCACCATATCCTTCGCCCGCCCAACGTGTATTGAAGTTAAAACGACACTTCAATATATTACGAACCTGTTTACTGTTCTGTACTTGATTTCGATAACCGTGTCAAGTGTCTGTAGAATGTAAGGTTGCTCTTCTTCTCCATGTAACGTTGAAGGAGTGCAAAGTTGGCCGGTAGCCCATCGATTATCCAGATGACAACAGGGCTGACAAAAATACATGTAACGTTAGTGATGCATTGGGTGATTATCAGATAAATCCAAGCAATACGTATCACGCTAACAAAACTTAATCGACACACACACACAAGCAGAGTGGCTCAGTTCGGAGGTGGTAAATTGAGTTGTGAACCATTCATTACAATCCTCGTCACATCACAGCCAAGGCACGCAGATAGCCACTAGATTGTTGCCACACTCTGATTGGCTAAAACATACAACACACGTGCGTATCACATGCTCTACACCACACGTTAATTGGTCAATTCTCATGATGGCACATCACCAGTATTCCTTTATTCCGGATAACGAATTTTATCCGACAGTGATGATTGTTACTGAGGAGATGATACAAGGAGGCCAACAGGTACGTAATTGCAGTGAGGAATTTTCGTGGGTATTGGTTGTCATATAGTCAGGTACGATGGAAATCAATTGCTCCAAAATCAGGGCTGGGCATGAAAGAGCGGGGGGAGGGCTGCAAACCCTGCGTCGTTAATGTTTAATCCTACGTATTATATATTAATATATTGTGTTGTTATTAATCTATATTTTGGAACCTGCTGAACACGACCAACAAACTGGTCGCCGCCAGAACCGGAGAAGATGCATCTTCCATGCACTAGTCCCAAACTCCAATTCGCTCGAAGACATACTAACACTGCTTAGGGGGCCCTGGGAGTGTTCGTCGACGCGGTTACGACCTCCTTTTCCAACAAATGCGTTCCAATCGTCGACAGTCCCATCGCCAAAATGGTGTCTTGGGATGACTCTACGAGAAAGTGGAACGCTACGATTAACTATACAGTAGTCCCCCGCAATACACAATACTGTAGAGGAACCCACAATAAATCAATATCCTCGCAAAATGTATTCTTTCACAAGATGGTGCAAAATAAATTTAAAGAGGCTGATTGAAATTTCAAACGACACATGTGCGAAAATGCACTTGGCTGTCAAAAAGCCGTCACCCTCGACACGGATGAGACTCACTGTCGAGCAAAAGCGCTCACTATTGACGCACCACAAGTCCAATCCTGGCATGAGAGGACTTGAATTACGAGTTTGGGCTCAGCATGCGTTTGGGCTACCACGTGTGCCCCAAAAGTCGACTATGTCTCGTTGGCTCAATACTCAGAGCGACCACATGGACGTGCATTTTAAAGTCCCGTCGCGTGTATGGCGAAGCTGCTTCAGCAAGCCAATAGGACGTTGACGAGGGACGTCGCATCCTTCGTGACGTCACACCAGCCTACGCGAAGCAAGACATGGAAAAAGTGTTTTCACGCGTGCTTTTTGGGGGTATTACTCGTGTTATTGAAAAGTGGGGGAATCACGCGTGTTTTCTCAATAACAACTTTATGGAATCGGGGGACTTGCGCGTGTAAATATTTTGACATGCATAAGCTATTTTACTTAACAAATTTGACAGCTAACGTAAATGACCAATTTATGATCACTATAACGTAAACAATCAATTTAAGACGCATCTGAGGAAGGCGGCTGGGGAGAACTTCCAAAGCTCCCCGCTCATTCAACATTTTCGACCTCTGAAACTTGGAGATTGTAGCTGAATTAATGGGGAACAACCTCTTTGATGTATTTCCAATGACTAAATCATCAAAAACCAAGCAAGTTTGATCTCATTTTAACAATCAATTTA